AAAAGCAAACTAAAAGGACAGCTAGATCAGGAGTGGAAACGTAGAAATGAAGATCTCAAGGAGGGTTAGCAACAGGGGAGTAGGAGGAGGAGAAGGGGGGAGAAGGTACAGAAAATAAGTAGCATAAACAGTAGATAGAAAATAGATGGTGGGGGCAAGAATAGCATGGGAAATATAGAATCTAAAGAACTTGAGACACGTGGTCATAAACTAAAGGGGGGAATGATGGGTGTGAAGGGGTGCAGGGTGGAGGGGAATGAAGGGGGGGAATAGAACAACTGTAATAACATAATCAATAAAATATATTTTTAAAAAAAGTACAATTGGTAGGTACAGAATATGCAGGGGTGTGTTGAGAACAGTATAGGAGTAGCCAAAGATCTTATACACATGCATGGACATGAACTAAGGAGGGGGATTGCCTGAGGGAGTGGAGTTGCTGCATGGAGGGTGGAATGGAGGAAAAATTGGGACAACTGTAATAGCAAAATTAATACAATATATTTAAAAAGAAATAATAAAGCATAATACACTGGAAAAAACCCTAAGGACTACACCACAATACTATTAAAAACAATAAGCCAATACCGTATAGCTGCAGGATACAAAATCAATGTGCAAAATCCATTGCATTCCTGCATACTAATGAAATATCAGAAAAAGAAATGAAAAAAACAGCCCCACTTGCAATTGAAATTAAAAGAATAAAACACCTAGGAATAAACTTAACAAAATGAAGGGCCTATACACCGAACACTATGATACATACTTGAGAAAAACTGAAGAAAAAAAGAAATGGAAAGATGATGGAAGAATCAACATTTAAAACGGTCATATTACCTAAAGTAATACATAGACTTACTTAATGCAATTTACATCAAAATCCCAAAGGCATTTTTTAAAGAATAGTACAAAAAATTCTCAAAATTTTGTGAACTCATAAAAGACCCCAAATGGCCAGAGTAACCCTGAGAAAAAAAGAACCAAGCCAAAAGTATCGCACTGCCTGACTTCAAATTATGCTACTAAGCTACAATAATCAAAAAGTATGGTATTGGAAGAAAAGTAGACACACTGACCAATGGAACATAACTGAGAGCTTAGAAATATACTAACATGTGTACAAGGAACTAATTTTCAACAAAGAAGCCAAAAACATGCAATGGAAAAAGGAAAGTCTCTTCAATAAATGGTGGTGAGACTATTGGAAAGCCACAAGCAAGAGAATGAAACTAGACTGTTCTCTGATACCATACACAAAAATGAACTCAAAGTGTTTTAAAGAATTGAACATAAGATCCTAAACTTAAAATACATACAAGAAAACATAAGCACTAAACTTATGGACCTTGGTCTCAAAGAGGTTTTTTTGTGAACTTGACCCCAAAGACAAGGGAAATAAAGGCACAAATAAATCAATGGGACTATATCAAACTACAAAGCTTCTGCACAGTAAAAGAAACCATCAACAGCAAAAACAGGCAACCACCCAATGGAAGAACGTATTTGCAAAGGTTATCTCTGATATCCTCCAATATCTCTAATATCCAAAACATATGAAGAACTCTTAATTCAACAACAACAAAAACAATTTAATTAAAAATGGGCACAGGACCTAAACAGACATTTTTCTTAAGAAGACACAGATGTCCTGGCTGGTAGCTCAGTTGGTTAGAGTGCTCTCCCAATACACCAAGGTTGTGGGCTCCATTTCCTGCCAGGGCACATACAAGAAGCAACCCATGAATGCATAAGTGCAATAACAAATTGGTCTCTCTCTCTCTCTCTCTCTCTCCCTCCCCCCTTGCTTTCCCTTGCTAAAGTCAATAAATTTTAAAAAAAAGACATACAGATGGCCAACACATATAGGAAAAGATGCTCAAATTCATTAGCAATAAAGGAAGTGCAAGTGAAAACCACAATAAGATACCACCTCACATCTGTTAGAATGACTATTGTCAATGAGACAAGAAATAAGTGTTGGAGAGGATGTGATCAAAGGGGAACCCTTGTACACTGCTGGTGGGAACGTAAACTGGTACAGCCACCATGGAAAACAGTACGGACGTTCCTCAAAAAATTAAGAATAGAGCTACAAGGTGACCCAGCATTCCCTCTTCTGGGTATCTACCTGAAAAAACTGGAAAATGTTTTTTCATAAGAGTGTATGTGTCCCTACATTCAGTGCTGCACTATTCATGGTGGCCAGGACATGAAAACAACTAAAGTGTCTTCCCATAGGTGATTGGATGGAGAAGATGCGTTCTAGCCCTGGCCAGGTAACTCAGTTGGTTAGAGCATTGCCTCGATATGCCGGGGTTGCAGATTCAATCCCCAGTCAGGGCACATACAAGAATCAACCAGTAAATGCAAAAATATCTCTCCCTCTTCTCTGTCTGTAAAATCAATAAATAAACTTTTTTTTTTAAAGAAGTGGTACATATATAAATGGAATGCTACTCGGCCATCAGGAAAGATGGAACACTTGCCCTGACCAGCGTGGCTCAGTTAGCTCAGGGTGTCTGTCATACTGCAAAAGGAAGGGTTGCTGGTTCAGTCTCCACTTGGGGCACATGCAAGAGGCAACCTATTGATGCTTCTCACATCGATGTTTCTCTCCCTCTCTTTCTCCCTTCCTTCCCCTCTCTTTAAAAGTAAATAAATAAAATCTTTAAAAAAGAGGAAAAGATGAAACACTGCCTTTTGCGACAACATGGATGGATCTTGAGAATAATATGCTAAGTGAAATACATTATATGGAAAACAACAAGAACTATATGATTCACTCATAAGTGAGAAATAAACATAAAGTAACAAATGGAACAAACTAACTCATAGACACAGACAACAGTATGTCAGCTACCGGAGGGTGGGGTAGGGGCAGTGGACGTAGAGGGTATGTAGGTGGGTGGGATATATGATGATGGAAGAAGACCAGACTCTGAAACTGTATGCCTGAAGCTTACATAACCAATACCCATTAATAACCAATCTTCCCTCGATAAATTTAATTTAAATAAGTAAATAAATAAACCTAAATTTAATTTCCATAGAAACTGTTTCCATTTATATGCATACATATATATGTAATTTTTGTAGTCATTTGTTGAGAGAAATCACAGAAATAATGGCCATTACTCCAAAAGAGCGCAGAGTACATTTCCTAAAGAGCACTCTCATATACAACCATAGTGTATTTATCAAAATAAAATTTACATTGATTAATTACTACCATCTAATCCACAGACTCTATTCAGATTTTACTGACTGTCCTGAGAATGTCCTTTGTACAAAAGAAATAAAAAGCCTTCCTTTTTCTCATTTTCCTCTCTTGTCTAGGCTGCATCTTGGATCACACATTGTAGGCAGCTGTCATGTCACTTTGGTCTCTTTCAGTCTGGAATATTTCTTTTGTCTTTCCTTATCGATCATGTTTTTGTCATTTTTTGAAGTTACTTTGTATAATGTTCCTCAAATTGAGTTTGTATGCAGATTAATCATGCATCAGATTAGATAGTTAAATCATGTAACTAGATTAGCTTATATAAATTTGGCACAAAATGTTTCTGTGTTCTTCTCAATATATCTATTGTATCACGAGGAACACCAAGTTCACTTGCCCCATTACTGGTGCTTTTTTTCTTTTTAAGATTTTATTTATTTATCTTTAGAGGGGGAGGTCATAGGCTAATAATTTGATGAACCACCAAAATAAAGACAAATTACATGTCTTTTTCTTTGCACTTCTAAAAGCCCTTCAACAAAGATAAAACCATACCTGCCCTTGAGGAGTGTTTTAACGTTTCTCCTTGATGGCTCTGTTGCCATTGCCCAGAGCGGACTCAATGTACATTTTTCTGGTTTTATGATGAGTTACAAATTGAAACCAGAGTATACTAGCGTCATAATTCTGATTTGTTCTAGTAGCAGTTTTTTGGAACCACTTAACCTTGTCATCTGGTTTGGCAGATTCTCCTCCCAGCTCTGACACTGAGCAGTCGACACACTGATTCTTTCCTGCTAGATTAAAATCGTGCATACCCATCTCGCAAGAGCAGGCTTAAATCATTGGAGGATGAGGTATAGAGTTAATATTCACTGTGAGGATGCCATTATTTTGAATTGCTGTGCTGGTAAGTAATTCATCTTCTTTTCCTACTATGTGGGTAATCCATTACCTTGCATAATCAATACCTTTTGCCATTGGGCAAAATAGGATTAGTATTCTACTTTCCTGAGACCTGTTGATTTGAGCAAGGCTTAAGCCAAATTTAAAAGGCAGGTTCCCACTCCACAAACCAGTGAGGTTGATTCTAAAAAAGGTGGCATATATTCATAGGCCTGCATATTAACTAGTACCCAAATAATTCCCATGCAGTAGTCCAAATACCATCTTTAAAATACTGTTAGGCCCTGATGGTCTCAGGTTCCTGGGAGAATGATTTTCCCTCTCTCTGTCCCTTCCCCTCTAAAGATAAATAAATAAAATCTTTAAAAAAAATAAAATAAAATACTGTTAGGTAAGGGAATACTTTCTCTTGAGGTGCTTTGTTAGTTTGTTTGGTTGGTAAGTTGGTTGGCTGGTTAGTTCTCTTCAGTCTCTATATGGAGTATATGACTTATTACAATTAGTTTTTTTAAACATTTTATTTATTTATTTTTAGAGAGAGGGGAAGAGAAGGAGAAAGAGAGAGAGAGAGAAACATCAATGTGTGGTTGCCTCTCACATGGCCCCGCTGGGGACCTGGCCCACAACCCAGCCATGTGCCCTGACTAGGAATCGAACTGGAGACCCTGTAGTTCACAGCCCACCCTCAAACACTGAGCTACAGTGGCCAGGGCTATTCGTTTTAAAAGAATGAATTAAAAAAGACTTAAACGGAAGAAAAGTTAAGCTGACTAGATATGAAGGATGGAGGGAAGGGAAAGTAATGAGGTGGTCTGCAATCAGGGAAGGTGATGGAGGTAAAGAAGCAGGAAGGAGAGAGCAGTTCTCTTACCATTTTACTGAATGTCAGCACGGCGCTAACAGGTGCTGGAGATTCAAAGGTTTACAATTCAGGGCGGGCCGAAGCAGGTAGGAAGGCGCTGTAGGAAGGCCGAAGAAGGGTTCCTAACCCAGGCTTGGAGCGCTAAGGCAAGGCTTCCTGGGAGGACTCTGTTCCAGACCGCGATGAGAGTAGTTCAGGAGGCAGAGTCATGGAGGGGGCAAAGAGCTCCAGGGCAAATTCTTTCTGTTTAGTTTTAAAACTTTTTTCCTGCTTACAAAAGTAATACATTTTATGTAACAAGTTCCTAGCCCATAAAAGCGAAAGCCTCCTATAGGTAATCCTATTACTGCTCGTAGTCCGTCGCGGTGGGATCATCGTCAGCCAGGAGCTTTAAGGATTTGCTGCAAGACGAAGCCCTGCGTGGGTCCTCCTACCAGCAGGGGGAGTGATGCCGCACGTCTGACGGCAAGAGGATCTCTCTTCTGCACGTCGCTAGCGTGATCGCGGGCGCTACTTACTGCGCCTGCGCAGGGACTGTGGCCTTTTCCGCTTACCGGAGCTCTGCTGGGTTTGTGGGTCTGTGGCAAGCTGCAGACGTGGGGCTTCCATCCGCAGGATGGTGAGTGGGTATCCCTATCTCGGGACTGTAGGTGGACGGAGGTTGCCTCACGTTGCCCTAATGCCAACCTATGGCTGGTCTCGCGCGGTCCAGGGGTCGGATGGCATTAGATTGCAGGCTCTGCCCTGGTTGGGCTGCTGCTCCCAGCGTGGCCTTAATGGCTGCCGCCCAGCGCGCAAGCTTGAGAGGAAAGGGATTGGGGACGAGAAGAAGCTGAGGCACGGATTGAGGGTGGGGTGAGTTCGGTAGACAAGCTGAGGGAGTAGTATCAGCTCGTCTGAGGGGGCCCCGTCAGGCGGCCGCGCTGGGGAGTTTGCATTAGTCGGTGTCAGACTAGCTGGTGGATGCCCACTGGAGCCGGGCTGCGGCTCCTCGCACCCAGCTCTACCTGGCGCCTCGCGGCTTTTCCTGGAGAGCGGCGGGTGCTTCAGAAAGCCTGTATCGTCGGTCTGAGGAAGTCGCCTATCAGTCTTGACAGATGGAAAGTAGAAAAAGCGATTGACCTTAGATGATTAGAGAGAAGCTGGACTCTGCAAAAGTGACAGTTGTCTAGGTTCAATTTTAAAATTCAAGTGTTTGTTACATCTCAGATGTCAGAAGTATCATAGTCTAAAACATTTAATGATGTTCTTTCTTTCTTAAAGGGGTTTGTAAAAGTTGTCAAAAATAAGGCCTACTTCAAGAGATACCAAGTGAAATTTAGAAGACGACGAGGTATGGTTGAGTTTTCATGTTCACAGTATTAAAGGGACCTGCTTTGCAATGGAATAGACTTTCTTTTCTTTTTCTTTTTTTTCCCCAGAGGGTAAAACTGATTACTATGCCCGGAAGCGCTTGGTAATTCAGGATAAAAATAAGTACAACACACCCAAATACAGGATGATAGTCCGAGTAACCAACAGAGATATCATTTGTCAGGTAAGTTGCATTCTAGACACAAGCCATGATGGTCAAGCCTCCCACCCCCTAACTCAGGGGTCCTGAGAACTTGTACTTGGGAAATAAAACAGGTGCGTGGGTTAGAAGGTCCATCAAGTGTGGGGCCTGGCATGCCAAAAATTGCATTGTTCGTTGTTTCCTTTTTGTGGGTCTTAAATTGGAGTCTGGGAAATTGGTTCTTTAAAAAAATACTTTGAAGATCAGCCGTTTTTGACAATCCTGACCTAGTTTAACCACATTTATTTCTTAAGTGGGGGAAAAGGATTAAAGAAATTTATGGTATTGCCACCATTTTGTGGGGGCAGATGGGGTGGGAAGATAAATTTGATACGAGTAGAAGGTTCCTCCCCCTTCCAACTCCAGTGCAATGATGGGATTTGCTGTGGACTGCATCCTGGTGTTTGCTGTCCAGCCTTGGATGCCACATATCCACCCCTCTTTGAGGGGGTGGGTTGTTGCAAAGACCCATCCCTTAGCCTCAAGATTATTCTTACTCCTGCTTATTATTTGAGATAGGTTTTAACTGTTCTAAGTGAAGTTGTCTTACACATCAAAGATCTCCAGAAAGTGGCAGCGTGTCCCTAGAAGATAATTTTCTGGAGTTTTACAAGGGAAAAGTTTTTTACTTGAGATTTTCTGGATCTTTGCATATAGGAGGCAGGTGTGCCAGTTTACTGGGCAAGCTAATTTGTGGTTGAGAAGGCAGTGTCTCCTCTGTACCTAAGTACAGACAACTAAACACTAGGTGTCTAGAACATTATTGAACTTAAAATATGCTTAGTTCAAAAGATGTTTGAAATAATTGGGAATTCTTTTGCTTTTTAAATTGCCTCTAATTCCCAGCTAAGTCTTTTCAGTATTTTGAAGGAACTACAGTGTAATTTATTTCAAAGGCATTTTTATATTCAGTGTCCCTTTGGTTACTTTTAGCCTGACATACTGTGACATAATTACACTCTTAAATGTACCTGCTATAGTGGATCAAACTGTAAACTTCTTGGAGTTGAGTGGGTTTAACAAAGATAGATTTTAAGTGATGGAGATCTGTGTCAAGTTCTTTGAAAACAAAGTCACTTTCGACAAACAGTGAGAGCACATTACTAACCTGGTTTTTCTCTTACTATAGATTGCTTATGCTCGTATAGAAGGAGACATGATAGTTTGTGCAGCTTATGCTCATGAACTCCCGAAGTATGGTGTGAAGGTCGGCCTGACAAATTACGCTGCAGCATACTGTACTGGCCTGCTGTTGGCCCGCAGGGTGTGTACAGGATTACTTTAATTGATGTATTTTGGAATTAGCTCATTGTTTGAAGTTGTCTGAAAGATAGATGTTCACACATGGATAAGATAACGGCAGCTATCAGGTCAACAGAGTTCCTGATAGTAACATTTGGCTTAAAAGGGCATCATTAGGAAAGATGATTTTTAAAATACAGGGTTTGAGACAGCAGTACATTTTCTAATAATTTGGGTAAGCAGTTTTCCTGTTTTCTTCTGTTAGTTATATCTAGACCAATAGAATTTTCTGCAGTGATATCTGTAATCTGATAATGGTAGCCAGCAGTCACCTGTGGTTTGAGCACTTGAAGTGTGTCTAGTGCTACTGATGAACTGAATTCTTAACTTTGAATAGTCACTTGTGGCTCCTTAGTGGCTACCTTATTGGACAGATCTATTTAGAAATGATCTTGTGACCATAAGCATACATTAAAAAATGTAGACTGCTCCAGATTTCAGAATATGTTTTAATGAGATGTCCAAATGATTTATGTGCATGTTAAAATTTAAGAAGCAATATCCTAAACTTGGCAGGAGGGAGTTGTTTCAATCATCTTTGCCTCTGGGTGGCAGCACTTTCAGTAATATGCATAAAAGATGAAAGTGTAACTTTGCCTTATTTTTTTCTTAGTTACTGACCTTGTTTTGCAGTGGAATTATTAAGCATACATCATTGTTGGGGACCTACATCTTCATTGGTTATAAACTTGTTTGAGTGGGAGAGGAGAACATTGTCATTCTGTGAGAGCAACTTGGTGCAAAGGCTCTGCTTGTGAAACCATAGCTAAGTGATGTGTACTGAGAGAGGAGTTGCCTGTGTTAATGTAGTGTAGTTAGAGCCACAAAAGATGTTTTCATCCCAGGATCCTACTCAAAACTACATGTGATAACATTTAATATTTGGTTGTTGAATTAGTGCCAAATAAGACCAAATAATAAAACTCTTAAATAAGATTACTCGGTCTTATGTAAGAATCAAATTTATGTACCTCTTAATTGATTGCTGCATAAATCAAATATGGACATGTAGCAGATTAAGAACCTGTTGAATAAAGTCAATACAACTGGTGAAATTGGATGAAGTTTCTTTTTGTAGCATTTAAAATTGATACTTAAAAGTAGATTGGGATTAAAGGATAAGTAAATTGGAAGGAATTGTTTTTTGTTAGTGGTCATTAAAGTTGTGACTTGATGTTATTAGAGTTGTTTGGATATATTTGGACAGGTATTATAATGGCTTCTTTGTTAATAGCTTCTCAATAGGTTTGGCATGGACAAAATATACGAAGGCCAAGTGGAGGTGACTGGAGATGAATACAATGTGGAAAGCATCGATGGTCAACCGGGTGCCTTCACCTGCTATTTGGATGCAGGGCTTGCCAGAACTACTACTGGAAATAAAGTGTTTGGGGCCCTGAAGGGAGCTGTGGATGGAGGCTTGTCTATTCCTCACAGGTAATACTGTATTCAAGGCCTCATTGCCTGGACTGCAGTACTTCACTGTTTCTAACTAGTTGGATTGTGGAGATTACTGAATTAGTTAAAAGTAATAATAGCTATCATTGCATGCCTACTGTATGCTAGACACTGCAAAAGGAACCTGGCAGGGCAGAAAGGAATTCATAATGTAATTTTCAAGTGAAGACACTGGGATTGAGAGGTAAATGAGTTTCCCAAGGTTTTGGAGCCACTAAGTGGAAGAGCTATGGTGGAACCCACACTACCTTTTAGGTGTAGCTTGGCTTTGGTTAGAAGTGAGCAACTTGATTTCACCGCTACTTCCTCTTCCCTTTCAATGCACTTTCTTTTTTTCATTCAGAAAGAAAATGGCTTTACTGAGTAATGGAAAAAAGTGGACTCTAGGAAAAGTTTGAGGAAAAAGGCTTAAAACAGATTTCTAAACTTTCAACTGGAAATAAGATTGTAGGCCGTTCTTAGAAGCTAAGTAGGTTTTAATTTGGTTGTTCCTTTAGTTTGAAATGATTTTTGTTATTATGTAAATACATCTTAAAGTGAATTATCAGCTTCTTATGAATATTTTAGTGGTCGGTGATTTAACAAAAAAAATCTATGTATATATGTACTTATATTTATATATTTATAAGCCTGTAAAATGTAACCTAACTGGAACATGCTCTTATAATGTGGGGAAGGGGTTTTCATTTGTTTTTGAGGATCTGCAGCTCTTTTGCAGAGGCATCTGTGTGACTTTGAATAAATCACTCTTACATGCTCTGAGACACCAATGAGAAATTGTAGGATTTGGGGGGAGCAGTTTTGAAACTCTTTCTATGATAATAACATTATTAGTAGTGAAAACCTTGGTTCATTTAATGGTTTTTAAAGGTACTTGAGGCATGATTTTCTACTCTGGAATTCAGAGATAGCTGCTGAATGATGATATCCCACCAACTGAGCAGTCAGTAGTTGGTCCTTTGGTTGCATGTGATGCAATTAGTTGTTTCAAGACGGGACTGATGGCAGCTACTGAAAAGAATTCCTGTTAGTGAAAAGGTTTCAATTAGTATATACTAAAATGTGGAAAACTTTATTTTAGTACCAAACGATTCCCTGGTTATGATTCAGAAAGCAAGGAATTCAACGCAGAAGTGCATCGGAAGCACATCATGGGTCAGAATGTGGCAGATTATATGCGCTACCTAATGGAAGAAGACGAAGATGCTTACAAGAAACAATTCTCTCAATACATAAAGAACAATGTAACTCCAGACATGGTAACAATTTTATATGAAACTGGGTTTACTGTTTGTTTTTTGGTGGGTACATTATATAGTTTTATTTTAGGTTAATGGTTAAAAGTTGAGTGTGGGTATGTGCATAGGTCTAGACAGACTCATAAGCTGCCCTTGGCTTAAAATGAAATGGCATAAACCCAGGGTAGGTTAAAGGATGAGGTAGTATAATGGGCTAGACTCATCAGTATGCTTTCAAGGAATCTTTTAGATGTTGAACGATGTTAGGTTTTAGGCATCCAAATCTAAAGCCTTTGGTGGCTTTTATGCATTTGGCTGTTCTGTATTTCAAGATTTCGTTCGTGTGGTCCTAGTTATAATCTACCCTGTCTGCTTTGAGATGCTAGTTATTAAACTTCATTTTGATACCATGGGGAAGAAAAGTTCTTTCTTTATAGACAACAAATACTATGTTCTGGACTTCTGAATGTCTCAGGCATACACACAGAAAAGGAGATGTGCAGATTCTAACATTAGTTCTGCATGATGCTGAAGAAGTAAAGGGAAACAATATTTGCAAAAGTGAGTTTAATGTTGGAAAATCGATCACCCCTAAAGTTGAGTCTCCGAGTAATTGATGATAGCACCAGTTTTGAAGTTGGAGCGAAAAGTGTAGGAAAATCACACTGATTACCCTAAAGCTATTACAAATATAAATGGATGGGTTATGTATTAAGTAATTGTTTTCTGTTAGTGCATGGTTTCTATTTTTGGCATAGCTTTGGTTATGAAATTATTTTTAAAATAGTTATTGTGAAAAGATTCCTTTGTTATTTGTATGTTTTGTACAATACATCATCTAGGGCAGAATAAACACATATGTTGAGTTTTGAACTAGGAAAAAGGTACTTTTATATTACCTATGTAGAAGCATCTATTATACAGGAGTATATACCCTTAGATTACTACTGATACTGTCCTCATTCACCCTGCTAAAAAAGTCTTTTTTGATGGATTTTCCTTGACCTAACAATTTTTCTTCCTAAACAACTTCTTGCTCTGGTCATGGCATGTATGCTCAAGACATTCTAAACTCTCAGTCTGTATTTTCAGATGTCTGTTTCCTAATGCTTTCCAGTATAGATTCCATGCTTTGGCCAGAACCACTCTTAGGCTAATGTACTTTCCCACTAGCTCCTTAATTTCATCTATGGAAGCATCTTTCCTTATGCGTGTATACTGAAGTCCTATGCAGATACCTGGTAGGTCTCCCCGACAGCAAGTGGTCTTTACCTAAATTCATGGCATTATCTACATAACTGATTGTATTTCTTACTTGTCTGATCTCTTGGAAGGAATGAACTGGGTTTAGATTAATTTTTTTAGTGTCTGCATGTGATCAAATGGGTTCATTAAATACAGTGGAGAGCTGTAATAGAATGCTAAAAGAGGTGAACTTTCAAAAGGCATTTAGGTCACATGTAGTGAAAATTTTTTTCTTTCCCTAAGCTTTACACAAATGCATGTAGTAATCTTCACATTGAATAATTTTAAAGATCTGGATTACCTGGCTCATTCTTTAGGGGGCTGTAATTCTTACTAGTTTCGATAGTGAACACTCAGGCATTTTATAACCATTCTTCATGATGATCTTGCACAGGATCAAGTCATTTACAGTTGAGTCTTGAACAGTGTGGGGATTGGAGGCACCAATCCCCTTGTGCGTGCACACACAGAAGTCCTTATAAAACCTTTGACTTCCCCAAAACTTTACTGCAGCTGTCCCCTGTGGATTGAAAATAAATTTTTCAGTCCACAGATGGGAAACTTAGGGATATTGAGAGCCAACTGTATATTGATTGAAAAAAAATCTGTGTATAAGTGGACCTGCATATTTCAAACCTGTATTGTTCGAGTTGAGGGCAAGTTGAGGGCGGTAGTTGTAACAGTACAGAGTTGCAACATTGTTTTTTTTGTGTGTTTGTTTGGGGGGGGTTGGATATGTTTTAGAACAAAATTTTCTTTAAGATAACTAATTGGGTGGCCTTGCAGGGTATTCTAGAGAAATTCTGACCTTTCTGGTTCCAGAAGCCAAATATTACCGCCAGAAACTAGTTACTCCTAGTAGTAGTTGATATAAGAGGTCCCTGGTATATAATACTAAAAAATGGCTTTGAAAAGAACTATCAGATATTAATGGAAAATGTAAATCTGAGGAATGTGAGAGGACAAAAAAAAACCTTGGCAATTGCTGATTGGCTTCATTTTTTTAAAGATTTTATTTTCTCAGAGGGGGGAAGGGAGAGAGAAAGGGAAGGGAGAGAAACATCAGTGTGCAAGAGAAACAGCAGTTGGTTGCCTCTCACATGCCCCCAGCCAGGGACCTGCCTGCAACCTAGGCATATGCCCTGAGCCTCAAACTGGTGACTTTTAGGTTCACAGGCTGGCGCTCAGTCCACTGAGCCACACCAGCTAGGGCTCATACACTCTTTTTAAAATATTTATTTGAGAGAGAAACATTGATTTGTTGTTCCACTTACTTAAGCATTCATTGGTTGATTCTTTTTTATGCCCCGACCAGGGATTGAACGTGCAGCCTTGGCATATTGGCATGACGCTCTAACCAACTGAACTACCCAGCCAGGGCAGCCCCATACACTCCATCTTTTTATTTTTAATTGGAGTGACACTGGTTAATAAAATTATATAGATTTGAGGTATATAATTCTACAATACATCATCTGTGTATTTACCATCCCAACACTCAATCTTAACATCGTAAAAATTTTGTTTTGGCATGTATCTCTCTTAAATGAAAGAATTTAGGTCAGGCAGCATTTTAAATGAGCATAAAATATATTTCTACAGAATCAATTTGCTCTAAACTTGAAGGACTTAAAAAATACAGCCAAGGTCCTTAGAAATGCATGCAAATTTCTCTTCAAGAAAATAATATGAATAATGTCAACTCACATTTCCTATGGTAAAAATTCTGAATTTAGAAATTTAAGCAGATACCAGCACTGACCTAGTTGAGTGCCTTGAGAATCTGGCTTAGAAAGATAAAATTGAGCAAGTAACAGATTACAGGCTGTTGTATTATTGTTTAGGGCATATAAAATGAAACCAAGTACTGTTTGCTTTGCTTTGTTTCAGATGGAGGACATGTATAAGAAGGCTCATGCTGCTATACGAGAGAATCCAGTCTATGAGAAGAAGCCTAAGAAAGAAGTTAAAAAGAAGAGGTATGCATCTTACTGTTTTTTCAAGGGAGAGTTGGCAGGGGTTCCCCACCTTGTTTCATCTAACTCAGACCGAGTCATGTGCAAACTCGATCACTAACTCTGCATGATGTTGCAGAAGTGAAGGGAACCAGGTTTGCTAAAGTAATTGTGGTGATAGAAATGTATTGGCCTCAGAAGCTACTGAGGTGCTCCATTCTATCCTAGGACAGTGTAACTACCAGTTACTGCTAATACTGAATAATTCTAAACATTGTACTAACATGTTTGGTTATTGGCAGTGTGGTAAAAGGACAGTATCACAAAAGTTGGGGTTTGAAAGTTAGCTTAAAATCATAAATAAGTACATGTATTAGAAATTTTACAAAGTTTCTGTCTTTTTTTAATCCAAGTTAAATATTTTCTACCCTCATTAGTTGTAGTTTTTTAACCTAACACTCCTGTCTCTTTTGTTTTATAGGTGGAATCGTCCCAAAATGTCTCTTGCCCAGAAGAAAGATCGAGTAGCTCAGAAGAAAGCAAGCTTCCTGAGAGCTCAGGAACGAGCTGCTGAGAGCTAATAAACCAAACCACAATTTCCTATGCAGATTTTTCAGTTAGAGACAATAAACTTATTGAACAAGCACCTGTTTCTCTGTTAAGCTCGTTAGTAAAACTGTAGGAAATACCCTGAAATTGACAGTACTTTTCTTCAAGAAACAAGTATAGCTTTTTCCAGAAAAAGATGTCTTGCATATTGACTCAAAAGTTCACACCTGCTTCCTGGGCTTCTGTTCTCCCTGAAATGAGTTATTCCTCACATTGCATGATATGGCTCTCCCTTAAAAGTCTGTCAAACAACATACCAATCTTCTCCTAGGAAATAGTCCTTTCATTCATTTATTGTAACCAGATTATTAGTGGGAAGAATAGTTACCTTTACACAAAACTGGTGCTAATCCATGGCTTTAATTTTTTAGAGAAAGCTGTCCAATGAAGGTCACATATCTAAGATTTTTTGATCAGAAAATAACTGGGTCTTTTGTCTAAAAGTTGTTTTGTTTTATGGACATGTGGAAAGATACATCCCAGATCTCAACAAACATGAAAATCAGGAGAGGAGCAAGTCTTTGTACATCTAATTAACATGAGGAAATAGCTGGATAAATTTACATGCCTCTAAAAATAGCCCTTTGTCCAATAGGAAATGTAGGTAAATGTCAAATTTAAAAAGTTCCGACTTTTAGAGTCCTCTTAATGTGTCACCTCTCCGTAACTCAAAAATCCAAGATACTCGGGTTTGGCCCTAAGATCATTTTTGAAGGATTCAGTTGGGTGGGTGGTAACAGGATGAACCATCTGAACCAACGATGGAAAGCTCATCCGTTTTCTACAAGTGGCAGTTACATGTTGCTAAGAACACTTGATTTTGAGTTTTTAAAGGCTCAGGAAAAGCCTCAACATTATGAAGCCACGTGGTGTGTCTGAGTTGAAATGTGTTTTAAGTCTAATACAACAAAGCATACTATTAACATGTTTATAAATGAGTAATTTTAATTTGTTTTGCAGACTTCTGTTAATGTGCAAACTTTACCATGCTAAGACATTAGTAAATTTATGTATAAATTTTAAACAGCAGCTTCAATGCAAACCATGTTTCCAGCAGTGGTATTTTTGCTAACATAAATCTACAAAATACTCTCACTGTTGATGTTTATGGAATGAGGCTTCACAGCATTATTTTCAGTCAAAATAGTTACACAGTGAATGTACTGGGAAATGGACCAGGGCTTCTAAAAGAGCAGGAAAAATCTTTTGGGGCCTATTGATCCTATACCTCCTGCCATTACTTCAGCAATTGACATATTTTAAGATGATGGCTTCTTAGGACCAGGGGAAAGGAATTTTGTGTGACTGGCAAGGATTTGGATCAGAAGCCAGTTTTTTAAATGCTTAAAATTTTCTAAGTGTTTCCCACAATGGTCATAATGTGAAAATGAACTAAGAGTCATTTGTGTAGGAAATTTTCTTCCACAGTAAAGTTTTTAGGTTATTTAGTATCAAGGAATGTTCCATTTCCATTTGATTTGCTGTGACTTTGAGAGCAATACAAGAATAAAGTTGCTTTTCTAATTCTTCACGAATCTCACTTGGAGCACCCCGCAGTAGATAGTCTTTGAGTAACTGACAAGCCTTTGCCAGGTTTGGTTGTATCACTTCTGAAGTGCACTTCATTGTACTCTGATCACAGCTAGTTCGACAGTCCGTGCCATAGACACAGTCCAGGTCAGACTCACAGTGACGATCCTTTATAAGTTCTTTCAGGTTTGTCTCCGGCACAATTTTTCTCATGTCCACCATTTTCAAATCATACTTATCATTATATCCTAGGTTTTTGGCACTAGTATCACACATGAGGAAGTTTCCATAGGGGCCATGGAAAACATCTTCCACAAATTCTAGTAGTCCGATGGCTATTTTAGCCTTTCTGGGCCACGATGGTGTGAACAACTGATCCATGCTTCTTCTGAATCCAGATGGAATGAAAAGCTCAATGACCCATGGAAGGCTTATTCCATAAAGAGAGGTATATTCAACACTTTCCATTACATAGAGATCACCACAGAATCCCATTAATTTGGGGGTATGTTCTTTATCTTGAAGTATCACCATGAGAAGAAACTCATTTAATTGAAGAAGTGCCCATGCTGACTTCGCTTCTCCCAAGGAAACTTGGCCGTCTTTGTCTCCATCAGCCACTGTCAAGATGAGATTAACCAGTTCAGAGAGATTTCCCTGGTCACCCAATTTTGCCTGTAAAGATAAGATTTTAGGTAATCAAACAGAAGGAATGAAAAATATACTAATTTCCTTTATGGCGATTGCCATGCTAAGTAATAATCTTGCTACTGAATCCCCTAAAGGAACTTAAAATGTCTTCAAATATTTATGAAGCTTGCTAAGTTAGAACTATGTGTTTTTTTTCCTCCTCACCTGAGGATATTTGTTGACTTGATGTGGGGGCCATGGAGGGGTGGGGAGGAGGAAAGGGAGGAGTGTGTGTGTGTGTGGGGGGAGAGAGAACTATCTATTGAGTGCCTCCTGCACAGCCATAACCCAACCTGGGATCAAACATGCAATCTAGGCGTGTGCCCTGACCAGGGATTGAACCTGCAACCTTTCAGTGTATGGGACAACGCTACAATCAATTGACCACCTGGCCAGGACAGAACTGTTTTATGTAATTGCAGTAAAACTTGGCTAAGTCTGCTTGTTAAGAAATGGCCATTCCAACTCACATAGCCCTCTCACACTGCATAAATACAGTTAACTAAGACACTATGTGATTATTTTGTCTTATTCATACATTTACTTGCAAAATTGCAGTGTAATACGCTCATATTCAGTTATAAGAAGAGTCAATTGAAAGTTATTTTCTACTTTGTAGTTATCATATTAACATAATTATTTTGTTTAAGTTACATTATTCCAGTACTGAAGGTTAAAAGCATTTCCCTGTGAAGAAGGTTCTCTGGGATAAAATAGTCTGAAAATGTAAACTGTCCAGAGAAAAGAAAGATAAGTGAAAATATAAGAGCAGTAACAATGAGAAAAAAGAATTCTTTCTAAAACTATTTTCATCGTTTACTACCTCTAGTTAATTTCTGCATGAGTTTTTCTTTAAATTTTAAAAAATAATTTGCAAGTCAGGGTGTACTAATTTTTTTTCACCTTAAAAAATTTCATCAGTTATAATATCAAACTATAAAGCAACCTATCTATTTAATGAACTCCCCTCTCATATCTGGACATTTTAAGCTATTATAATGTTAAAATAAACATCTTCCACACATTTTTTCCTCTGTTAAATTATTTCTCTCAAGACAGAGTCCCTGATAGAGGTAAAAAAATAGCAACATTTTTGTGGTTTAAAAGAAGGTCCTGTCAATTCATCCAGAAGAGTATACCACTTCACATTGGCAAGATGTGAATGGATATACTTACTTTAAAGAGACTGTAGACCATTTCTTTGAATTTCTGTACAGTAGTTCCCCTAGTTGGTTTATCAAATAACACTATTTCTTTTCTTGGTTCCAATTCAGTTCCAAAATCAAGGTGAAGTGCTTGTTCCATTTGACATTTCACAACCCCTGGTAGATTATCCCAAATCCCTAAATACATCTGTGTGAAAAAAGAATGGCAAGTTATACTTCAGGCAGAGTAGAAAATACCACTATATTTTTAGTGTCCTCCTCCTCTAGAAACACACATAAACAAACAAGCAACAGAGCACTGAGATTGTGACTTTCTTCTGAATAGCAAGCTCAAAACCATACTCTAAAGCTTTTTTCCTTAATTTTTTAAATTATAGGAAAATTTAAAACTTAAATTATAGAAATAATATATGCCTATAGATATATATATTTTACCATAACCATCATTTTTCCATTTTTGTTATTGTGGTAAAACTACAAAACCATATAATTTGCCATTTCAACCATTTTTAGTGTACAGTTCAATGGTATGACATCAATGAAGTTTTCCTACCACCACCACCATCCTTTCCAGAAGTTTTTTCATCTTGTAAAATATCTCTTCAGGACCCTACTTTTGATTCTTTTAGGTATATACCCAGAAATAGAATTGCTGGATCATAAGGTCATCTTATTTATTTTTTCCCAGGAACTGCCATACTGTTTTCTACAATGGCTGCATCATTTTACATTCCCACCAAAAGTGCAGAAGGGTTCCAATTTCTCTACATCCTTGCCACACTTGTTATTTTCTGTTGACGACAGTCCTTTCCATATCGAATGGTCTCAGCACCTTTGTCAAAAATCATTTGGTCATAATGTGAAGGCTTTTTGTCTATTCTATTCCATTGGTTTATATGTCAGTCTTGATTCCAGTAACACTGTTTTAATTAGTGTAGCTTTATAGTAAGATTTGAAATCACAAGTGTGAGTCCTCCAGCTTTGTACTTCTTCTCAATATTGTTTTGGTATTCAGGGTCCCTTGAGATGCCATATGAATTTTAGGATGAGTTTTTCTATTTCTGGAAAAATTGTCATTGGATTTTGATAGGGATTGCATTACTTTGGAAATCACTTTGGGTAATATTAACAACTTAATATTCAGTATTCCAACTCATGAACATGAATGCATTCCATTTGTTGGTCATTAATTACTTCCAGAAGTTTTTACTGTACAAGATTTTCACTTCCCTGGTTAAGTTAATTACTGAGTATTCTTTTGGATGCTATGTAAATAGAATGATTTTCTTAATTGCCTTTTTGGATTGTTCATTGTTAGTATGTAGAAATGCAACTGAGTTTTGTGTGTTGACTTTGTTTCACGCTACTTTGCAGAATTCACTTACTAGCTCTAACAATATTTTTGTGTGGAATCTTTATGTTTTTTCTACATCCACTCATATCATCTGTCAACAGAGATCATTTTACTTCTTCCTTTCCAATTTGAATGCCTTGTATTGGGTTGGCCAAAAAGTCTGCATGGTTTTTTCCATAAAATAAAAGACATGTTCTTTTCATTTTCACCAATAACTTTAATGATTTGGATATTTTGAGTATGTCAGCTATTTCCTGCCTGGTATAATATTGATTGTTCTCAATTAATTCTCGATTTGATTGCTGTCAACTTCAACTGGTATAGCTGACCACGGAGCATCATCCAGTGAGAAATCTCTAGTACAAAACCTTGCAAACCACCTTTGACATGTTCAATCAGTCACAGCCCCTTCTCCATACACTGCACAAATCTTTTTATGCATTTCAGTTGCATTTTTACCTCTCTTAATATAATAAAGCATAATATGCTGAAAATGTTGCATATTTTCTTTCATCTTCAATATTAAAATGGCTACACAAAAATTTGCCAATTTGGATTATATTTTTAATGCATGTTGACAGCTGTCAAAATACAATCTAACAAAATGGTTTCAAATGAAGTTACAGATAACTAAGTGTAACTAGAGCCATCTTACAGAAAAAAAATGAACAAACTTTTTGGCCAACCCATTATTTCTTTTTCTTACCTAGTTGAGCCAGCCAGTAGCTAGAACTTCTAGTAGTCTGTTGAATAGAAGTGGCAAAAGTGGGCACCCTAATCTTGTTCCTGATCCTAGAGAAAAAGCTTTCAATCTTTCACCATTGAGTATGGTGTTAGGTACAGGTGGTTTTTTCATATAAGGGTTTTACTATTTTAAGGTAGTTAGTTGCCTTTTATTCCTAATTTGTGGATTGTTCTTATCATGAAAGGGTACTGAATTTTGTTAAATACTTGTTCTATATCAATTAAGATGATCCTTCTTGCCCTGGTTGGTGTGGCTCAGAGGATTGAGTGTCGGCCTATGAATCAAAAGGTTGTATGGTCAATTTCCAGTCAGGGCACAAGCCTGGGTTGCAGGCCAGGTTCTCCAGCTCAGGTATGCAAGCAGCAATTTGACACAGTAATCTTTCTCTCTCTCTCTTTCCCTCTCCCTTCCCCTCTAAGAAATAAATAAATACAACCTTGAAAAAAATTGATGATCCTTCTCTTTTTCCTTCATTCTGTTAAGGTGGTGTATTACACTGACCGATTTTCCTATGTTGAACCATCCTCAAATTCCAAGAATAAACCCCATATGATCAGGGTGTCTGATCCTTTTTCATACGCAGCTGAATTTGATGTCTATTATTTTGTTGAGGATTTCTGCATCACTGTTTGGCAGGGATACTGATATGTTTTCTTGTACTGTCTTTATATGGCTTGGGTATCAGTAATGCTGACCTTATATGATGAGTTAGAAAGTATTCCTTCCTCTTCAATTTTTAAAATGTCATTTACTAATTTATTCTTAGAGAGAGGGGACAGGCGGGACAACAAGAGGGAAAGAAACACTGATGTGAGAAGAAACATCAATCAGTTGCCTCTCCTGTGCACCCTGACTGGAGACAAACCTGCATGTGCCCTGAGCGAAGCCAAACCAGACCTTTTGCTTTGTGGCGTGATGCCCACCCAACTAAGCCACACTGATCAGGGTACCTTCAATTTTTTTGGAAAAGTTCAAGGTGGATTGGTGTTAGCTCTTTATATGCCTGGTAGAATTCACCACTGAAGCCAGCAGGTCCAGGGCTTTTCTTGTTAGAAGACTGCTTACTGATTTGGTCTCCTAGTAGGTATATAGTTCTATTCAGATTTTCTATTTCTTGGTAAGTTTTGTGTTTCTAGAAATTTGCCCATTTCATGTAGGTGATCCAATTTGTTGGTGTACAATTGTTCGTAGCACTATAGAGTCAGCAGTAGCATACCGCCTTCATTTCTGATTTTAGCAATTTGAGTCTTCTTTTTCTCTTAGACCACCTAGCTAAAAGTCTGTTGATATTTTAAGTATATTTTATTGATTATGCTATTACAATTGCCCCATTCTTTTTTATCCCCTTTCTCCCCCTCCAGCCAGTACCCCCATTCCCTTCAGCATTCCCTACCCACTTTGTTCATGTCCATGCGTCATACATTTAAGTTCTTTGGCTTCTCCATTTCCCACACTATTCTTAACACCCCCCCACCGTCTATTTTGTACTGGCCATTTATGCTACTTATCCCCTGTACCTTTCCCCACATTCTCTCTCTTCCCCTACCCCACCAATATCCCTCTATGTGATCTCTATTTCTGGGATTCTGTTCCTGTGCTAGTTATTAGCTTAGTTTTTGTTTTTTTAGGTTCAGTTGTTGAGAGTTGTGAGTTTGTTGTCATTTTATTGTTCATAGTTTTGATCTTCTTCTTTTTCTTAGATAAGTCTCTTTAATATTTCATATAATAAAAGCTTGGTGATCATGAACTCCTTTAATTTGACCTTATCTGGGAAGCACTTTATCTGCCCTTCCATTCTAAATGAAAGCTTTGCTGGATAAAGTAATCCTGGATGTAGGTCCTTGCCTTTAATGACTTTGAATACATCTTTCCAGCCCCTTCTTGCCCACAAGGTTTCTTTTGAGAAATCAGCTGACAGTCTTATGGGAACTCCTTTGTAGGTAACTGTCTCCCTTTCTCTTGCTGCTTTTAAGATTCTCTCCTTCTCTTTAATCTTGAGTAATTTAATTATGGTGTGTCTTGGTGTGTTCCTCTTTAGATCCAACTTGTTTGGGACTCTGAGCTTCCTGGACTTTCATATCTATTTCCTCTGCCAGATAGGGGAAGTTTCCTTTTTTTTTTTTTCCCAAATAAGTTTTCAATTTCTTGCTCTTCCTCTTCTCTTTCTGGCATCCTTATGATTTGGATGCTGGAATGTTTAAAGTTGTCCCACAGGTTCCTAAGCCTCTCCTCATTTTTTTGAATTCTTGTTTCTTCATTCTGTTCTGGTTGAATGTTTATTTCTTTCTTTTGTTCCAAACTGTTGATTTGAGTCCTGGTTTCCTTACCTTCAACATTGGTTCCCTGTATATTTTTATTTCACTTTGTGTATCCTTTATTTTGAGGCCATACTCAGTCATTCTGTGAGCACCCTGGTTACCAGTGTTTTGAACTCTGCATCTGATAGATTGGCTATCTCTGCATCACTTAGTTCTAATTTTGGAGCTTTGATGTGTTCTTTCATTAGGGTTGTATTTCTTTGCTTTGGTGCATCTGTTACATTGTAAGGTATTTGCCAGGGTGGAGCAACCCACGTCACTGCATTGTGGTGCTGTATGTAGGAGAAGGGTCAGAGAGGGAACAATGTCACTTGCTCAGCTCTCATTCCACTTTCAAGAGACTGGCAGTTTCAACCACCACCACAATGCCCACAGGTTATTACAACCAAAGGTTCTGAGGTTTAGTTTTGCTAGCGCTGGTACCCTGGGTTGCACAGTGTATCTTATTCCCCAGTTGTTCCTCCCGTTTTATCCCACAGTGTGGGAGTACCTGGTCTACTAGCTGTCATCTCGCCTGCCTGGTCCACCAGTTACCACCTGGCTGTGTGTCCTCTCCACCCCGGCTGCCCCTCCTACCAGTTTGGATGAATATTTCTTCTTTAACTTCTTGGTTGTCAGACTTCCATACAGTTCTATTTTCTGGCAGTTCTAATTGTTTTTTGTTTGTGAATTGGTTGTTTTCTTGTTGGGTTGTGTGAGGAGGTGAAATGTATCCACCTACGCTTCTATCTTGGCTGAAACTATATCTGGTGGTATTTTTAAAACACCAAACTTTTGGTTTCACTGACTTTCTCTATTGTTTTTCTAGTCTTTATTTCTTTTATCTCTATTATAATCTGTATTATTTCTTTTGTTAGCTTTGAGTTTAGTTGTTCTTTTCTATTCCTTAAATTATAAAACAAAGTTGTTTATTCAAGACCTTTCTTGTTTCTTAATGTAAGCATTTATAGCTATAAATACAATTTTTAAAAAGTAAAATTACACAGAAGGATGAAAGGCAAAGTATGCTCTATCCATTTTCCTAATCCCATAGCTCAGAACTGGTCGCTATTAACTATTTAGCTATTTATCAAACTAACATTATATGGTGCTTACTATGTGCTCTGGTCTACTCATTTATTTGATTATTTTACTCCTTATAACAATGCTATAAAGCAGATACTATTATCATTCTCACATTGCTGACGGAAAACTGAAGCAGAGAGAGGTGAAGGTAACACAACAGTGGCAAAGCCAGCGTTTGCACCCAGGCAGTGCCTTCCTGCTTATATATAAAAACCAAATAGTATTATATTAGTTAGTAATAATATTAATCCAAACAAAGCAGATTATATCCCTGCCCTGCTTTACACCCTCTAATACAATGTGAATAAAGCCCAAAGTCCTTTCCATTGCCTGTTAGGCTTCATATGGAACTAGCCTGGCCTTATTCTTTAATCTGATCTTCTGCCTAGTATTCCTGAGTCCCTGTATCCCAGCTACAGCGGTCTTCTTTCTGTTCCTTGAACCTATCAACCTTATTTCTGTTTCATGACCTGCTTTGTTTATTTGCTCTTGGTTCTGCTGGGAACGAACGCACAGATCTTCACTCAGTCAGCTCCGTCACACGCTCCAAGTCCCAGCTCAGGTGTTACTGCAGCCAGGCCTTCCCTAACCACCTGTCTAGACTGGATCCTTCTTCCATCTCAGGTCACTCTCTAACCCGTTACCCAGTTTCATTTTCTCTACAGCCTTTAGTACTGTCTGAACATGACCTTACTTATTAGGTTAATGACTCATTATCATCTCTTCTTTCACATGAAACATAAGGCACAGGAGGCCAGAGGCTTTATGTGTCTTGTTCTCCATGGTCTCTCACAATGCCTTAAACAGTTCCTGTCATGTAGTAGTTATTCACATGCTAGATTTTGTTTCAGAAGTCTTCTCAAACAGTGTTGGCATTGTAACTGAAAATATATTTTAAATTTTTATGGTTATAAGAGTAATTATAGAAACTTAATTGGAAATTTAGAAATAATATAAAGAAAAAAGATGCCCTTAAAATTATGTAATATTCCACTGCCCAAGGCTACTCAGTGTTGATGTTTGTTACAGTTTCTTCCAGCCCAATAGTATTTTACTATTCTAATTCATGTTTGATGATAAGTGAGGTAGAACTTTTTAAAAAAGTTTTTAAAGATTTTTTCATTTTATTTATTTACTTTTAGAGAGAGGGAGGAAGAAAGGGAGAGAAACATCAGTGTGTGAAAGATTCGGTTGCCTCTTGCACACACCAACCTGTCATCCAACTGGGACCTGGCCTGCAACCCAGGCATGTGCCTTGACTGGGAATCTAACTGGCAACCTCTTGGGTCACAGGCTGGTACTCAATCCATTGAGCCACACCAACCAGGACAGAACATTTTTTCATTATGTTTATTGGTTATTTATAGTTCTTCTTTTGTGACTTAGTTCATCCTGTCCCTTGCCCATGCCTGGAGTTTAACTTTTCATCAATGTTATCTTAATAAAGTCTTCCCTGATCACCTCTGCCAAAGCACATCTCCACCACCTGTGCAATGTCCAGCAATCTGCCTTGTGTACATCCTTATAAAACATATCACATTCTGTAATTATCTTGCTCATATATTCATCTATAAACTGTTTATATTCCCCACCCCTCTGGGATAAAGAAGATCCATAAGGGAAGCAACCCCATCTATCTTAATCACCACTGTATTCCCAGTAACTGAAACAGCGCCTGGAGAACAGAACAGGGGTTCATAAACATCTGTGGGATGAGTGAATCAAAGCATACAAAATTGAAATATATAAAATATCCTAAAGCTCTGGTTCAAGAATTCTTTTAATAATGCTTTAGTTTAAGTTAAATTAGAGTGTACCATCAATCTGGAATGTTTATTCATAATGTCCATACCTGATTGTTGGGCTTGGTAGACAAGCATTTTCCAAAGTAAAGAGTTTCTGTAACACAAAGGCTGTTACATGCAGGCCCATCAATAACTCCAGTCTTGTACTTGTCACACTAAAAACAGGACATAAAGCAGTTAATAGAAAAATGTTCACAAGAAGAAATACAATAAAGACACCATAAAGAGACATCTATATTCTCTAAGAGAAGGTTCCACAACGAAAAGGACTCTGGCTTCAGATATGGGTGGACTTGAATTTGAATCCAAGCCTGTTCCTCACTACGTGATGGAGGGACCTTGTTGCAAACAGGGTGTGTGCAGAATTCTGAGACTTCTTCCCACTTAACATGGTCTGAGGTGGTATGGTATCCACTCTCTGAGAATAGGAACACTCTATTTTTTTAAATGGCTCTGGTTTTAAAATAAATTTTAAAATAAAGTTTAAGTTACCAAAAGGCTTTAAAATAACAAAATAAAATTACCTCTGTCATCCTTGAGAATATGCAAAAACAAGAAATAATCTGGGGGTGGTAAACTCACAATACAGTGTGCAGATGATGTGCTGTGCGATTGTGCACCTGAACCTGTGGAATTTTGTTAACCAGTGTCACCCCAATAAATTCAATGAAAAGGAAAAAAGGAATAAAGTGTTAAAAAAGAAAGGCCAACTCTATCTTTGATAAAATGAGGTACTAATGGAACCCTAAGACACAATACATGAGGATGGCCTGCCAAGTTCAGTGAAAATTACACCAAAGTCCAGAAGCATGCTGAGATTAAATACCTGCTGTGACCTCAATTCTCAAAGTTGGCAAAACACTGCATAAATGGTACATCTGAAGAGAAGAACCATCAGCCTGATTTGCAATGAAGGTTTAAGAGGCACAGCTGTGCAAACCTCCAAGGACTCTATTTGGCATCAGGAAGTTGCAGGGCAAGGCAGTGATTAAAATCTTTAAAATGTTATCCATGTTGGAGGTAGCAGTCTGTTAATGAAATAGGGATTGTGAAACACTTTATCATGAGCATCTCTGTAGTTGCTAGGGAGATACACAGGCTGAACCCATCTGTGTGAGTGTCTTTCTGTCTCCCCTGTATTCTTTTGCACACACACAACACAACACACACGAAAACTCTGGACACAGAAGCTTCACTGCAAGTTCAATTCATGATCCCAACTGCTTCTAAAAATTCTCAGTAATGAGTAATAATCAAAAGAAAATAAGCATGAGATCTGTACAGCAAATTTACAAGAAAATAGAAGAAAGAAATAGGAAAAGCAAGCGTCTGATAAATACTTTCCAGAAAAATGCTGCCCTGCAGCAAAGCAAACATGCCTATGAATTCAAAGGACTTAATGAAACAGTTTAAAATAAGACCTTAGTCTTACTTTAAAATAAGTGCTCAGTAACAGCAACAATTATTTTACATAGCCAAACTTTCAAGTAAAAGGCATCAAAAGGTTTTGAAAATGTAAGGATTAGATAATATAACACCCAATAATGTCTCCTGAACTATCAGAGAATGAATTTCGACCAAGATTTGAATGGAGAACTAAACATGGACGCCGGTTGAAAGGGAGGGCTGGGATGAAAATCACCCAGGAATCTATTTCTTGACAAATATTAATAGAGTGTCTCATAGTTAATGGATGCTTACTATGTGTCAGGCACTGTTCCAGTGCTATACTTTTATTATCATGAAAACAACCCTGTTATAGTCATAGAATACATTGTTATATCCATTGTAAAAATAAAAAAAACAAGTATCCGCTAAGTAATTCTCTCAAGGCCACACAATTACAAAATGACAACACCAAGATTCCACCCTAGGCAGTCTGGTTCCAGAGCTCATTCTCTTAAGCAATACTGTATATTGTTACTATAATATTACTATTATAAACTGTACTAGTAAAAGCAATAAAATTAAGAAGAATCAAGAAGAGACATGTAAGAAGATAGCATGTGGCAAAGGGATGTTGATTTCCTTATCTTTACCATCCAAGGTCAAAAAATAACATTCACATTTACTAAATCAAATTATAGAGATAGGAATACATTCAAAAGTAAAGAAATGATCACCAGAAGAACTAATAATAATAATACATTGATTAAAATTAGGTGGAATAAAGAAGATGGGATGACATACTACTTTTATCATTGCTTGTAATAGAGAGTAAACAGATATGGTCTAAAGAAATAAAATACAATTTTATAAGTATAATACAGCCCTGGCCTGGTGGTTCAGTCAGCTGGAGCACTGCCCTGATACATCAAGGTTGCAGGTTCTATCTCTGGTCAGGGCACATACAAGAATCAGCCAATGAATGAATAAATAAGTGGAACAACAGATAGATCTGTCTGTCTGTCTCTTTCTCTCTTCCTCTCTTTCATCAATATAAAAAGTTATAGTATAAAGCTAACCACTGGAAGAGCTAAAAACAGAATACAAACCTTCCTAAATTTTCAGAAGGTACATGCATAAAACAACTTAAAGAAATAGACAACCTATAGAAAAAGATAGAAACCAATCTTTAAAAATATAAAGTAGGTCATAAAATGTGCTACAGAACCAACTCATATCTATAAATGTCAATGGGATAAGTTCACCTAAATAAAAATATCCTAAAAAAGGTGTCAAAAAAGTTGAAAATAAAAGATGGTATACATATATCAGCTAAAAACAGAGACTGGAAGATGAGGATCAGAGGAATTCTCTCAGCTATAGGAATATAGCCTTTTATTTTTATTTTATATTGGTTAATTCCTTAATTCTGCTTTCTTTAGATTTTTTCTTATATTTTCAATTTTTAATTCATCCATCTGTTTTGTTCTTTGTCATTTATTAATGTAATTAAGATTTTACATTCTTCTCTAGATAGTTCTTCAATTTTATGTTTAGCTTTAGTTTCTGATGTATTTTGTTTTATTTTAATTGATTTTAGAGAGAGAGGAAAAGAGAGAGAGAAACATTGATTTGTTGTTCCACTCATTTATGCCTTCATTGCCTGATTCTTATATCAGGTTGTAGGAGATCCAACCTACAACCTTTGTGTATCAGAATGAAGCTCTAACCAACTCAGTTACCTGGCCAGGGCTCTGATGTATTTTTAAAAATGTTATTATTGTTACCTCCTAGATACTTAATTTTTTGATTTGTACTTTCTCTTTGACTGAATAATTAAAATAATATTTTAAAAATTTCAGACAGATTTTTGTTAATTTCAAGTTATGTTATATTGTGATTGGAAAATATTGTTTCTCCCATTTCCACTAAGTGTAATATATAAAGTTTGTGTCTAATACTTCCCACAGTTTGCTACGAGAATAAAATAGCCTTGCTAGAGATGGAGAGCCCTGTCCATGTGAAGAGTTAAGTGCCGGCACCTAGAACTGCTGCCCTTCAGTTATCACTAGCAGGGCAGTTCCTCCTAGAGCCCCTGGCTATGCCTGCCTTCTCCTTAGGACCTGGTTGTAACCACGAATATTAGGTTCCATCTTCATAGGACAGGAGGAGCAGAGGAGCGGAGTGATGGTTCTTGATTCAAGTCTCGGGCAGACCAGAGAGAGATGCTCAATACTTTTTTTCCCAGGTCAATATCTGGGGATTTTTAGGGAAATCATCTGTTTGGCATCTTTGCTTGGTAGCAGAGGGCCATCGATTTCACTGGCATGTTTCTTTACTGAGGCAAAAGGTGGTAGGAGTTCTGAGGCCTTACGCCGGAGCTGGCAGGGTTTCTAAGAAACTAAGATTCCATAAACCATAGTCCCTGACCACAAAGAAATGAGAAATCAACAAGAAAAATCAAGTAAAAATAAATACAGATATGTCTGAAAACTAAAAAGCACATTTCTTATCTGCCATAAGGGGCGGGGGAGGTTAGGGGTGGAGGGCTTGAACACAAAGGAAAAAGGACTCGTGGACATGGACAACAGTGTGGCGATTTCTGGGGGGAGCCGGGTATAGGGGAACTAAATGGTAATGGAAAAATACAATAATAAAAAATTAAAAGCACATTCCTAACTAATTTGTGGACTAGCGGAGAAATTGCAATGGAAATGCAAAATATCTAGAACTGAACAATAACAACAAAGGTATACACATCAAAACTTGTGGGATGCAGCTAATGCAGTTCTTAAAGGGAAATTTTCAACTTTAAACACAATGATGAAAAAACAAGACACGGTATAAATAGTTAGCACTCAACTAAAGAGGCTTAATAACCGAGTGATTAATGATACCAAATGCTAGTTCTCTGAAAACTTTAATAAAAGAGATAAATCTTCAGTAAGACTGATCATGAGAAAAAGAGAAAGCACAAATAAAGATGACTGGGAAAGAAAGGGTTGTGATCGTGAACAATGTTAACAATTCTATGGCAATGCATTTGAAATAAGAATTTTATGTGGGAAAATATAAATAATAAAAATGATGCAAGAAGAAATAGAAAATCTTAATAAGACTTACAAACATTTTTTTAAAAACCAAATGAGGAGCCCTGGCTGGGTGGCTCAGGTGGTAGGAGCATCATCCCACACATCAAAAGGTTGTTGGTTCAATTCCCAGTCAGTGCACATACCCGGGTTGTGCATTCGAACCCCTGTTGGGGTGTGTTAGGGAGGCAACCAGTGGATGTTTCTTTCTCACATCAATGTCTCTCTCTCTCTCTCTCTGTCTCTCAAATCAATGAGCATATCTTCAGGTGAAGATTAAAAATTTGAGTCAATAACCAAATATATTAGGTCACAGTACAGTCTAGGAGGACCTCAGGGTGTGATACAGGATTTTTGGAAGAGTGAAAAATAGGTAACAAAAATGGGGACATCTGCAACAGTGTCAATAATAAAAATGAAGAAAAAATAAAATAAAGTAACACAACAACAATAAAAAGGTAACAACATAAATGTTCATCAAGAGAATGGCTAGATAAATTGTGGTATAGTCATACAATAAATACTATTCAGTAATTAAAATAAAAGAATTTGGCCTATACATATCAAATGGAAAAATGTTGAAAATTTTAATTTCAAATGGAAAAAGTTGCAGAATATGTGCAGTTTAGTATCATTTATTAAAGTTTAGAAACATACACAGCAAGGCTGTATATTAGTTA